CACTCCGACCTCTTACTCCCACAGACAAATAGTAATGGCGTAGTTATGAGTTATTCAAAATAAATGCTCGAGTGAAATTGTTCAAAATACTTGTGGTTTCTTTGCATCGTAAAACGTCAAATTATCTCATTTATACTGTTCTAGAAAGGATGGAACCAATCACGGAAACATTTCGGTCACTCCGTGGACCGGTCAAAATAACTTGAGTATCCAGTGCTAGCGTCCCTCCCCCCCCCAAACCGGCAGCGTTTTACAGCTATGATCAATCGAATGCATCAGATAATGATCACATTAGATCGTATTGAAACTCATCTTTACCAAAAAACTTTTTCTACATGACGTTTTTCTCTATTTACAACCAACGTGAAAAATGTTATTTTGTATGCGTCACCTGTCATCCTCTACCTTCTCTCTCTCTACTTGCATTTTTGCGCAGGGTGACCGATTAGAGGAGTGGAAATTTGCTAGAGCCAGCCTCTGGATGGTTTATATCGACCAAGAAGGGGTTCTACCACCTCCGTTGAATTTACTTCCATCCCGGGAAGCGCTTTCCTCATTCTTTAGTCGTATAGGCAAAGCGATGTGCTTCAATCGAGCCGGGGACAAAGAACCGAAGCAAAGTGTCAGTATGTATTTTGCCGCAATGCGCAATGCCGTATGGGTGAACCAGTACTTGCAGACACAGAATGACTGCACGCTCGAGGTCCCGTTGGGTCGGATCAAGAAAACCACGACCACGACAACTGTGAGCACAGCACTAGACGGCTCACCGGTACACTCGAACAGTTGGGCTTCAGATGATGAGGGTATAGTAGAAACAGATCCGGAAAAGGTGATGAACGAATTCAAGGTAAGTATTCATTTGTATGCACATAAGGTAGCATAAGCATAATGAGCAACAGCAGTAGAAGTGGTAGTAATAGTAGCATTAGTAATAGTATTATTAGTAATAATAATTCATCTCTAACCTACTCAAACAACAAAGGTTAATAACCGCGATGAATACAGCACATCGTAGAAAATTGGAGAATACCATAACCAACCAAACTTACAACGAGGAAGGAAAACACACTTGGAATATTTAAATAAGTTCACATATGTTCCTACCCACAAAATCATCACATTTAACACTTATTCGGACTCAACAAAACAGCATTCTCAAATGACCGAACAGCCCTTGGGTAGCGCAGAATGACTGCAGAGTACACACTGACGGGCTTCTTCATCAGTTTGATCTGTGTAACTTAAGCCACGTCGAATCACCGGTTCTTATCCAATGGCATTGTCCAGATAGTTGTATGATACAATTTATTCTGCACATGTTTAGTTATTATCCCATAAGTTTCAGGTTAAAAGTACGGTCACTTTAAAGAACTTGGGAACGCTGAAGGAAATAATTCTAGTATCGTTGCGTGGAATGATAGAATATTTGATCCTATAGTACTCCATAACCAACATAACTTCATCCTGTCGGATTTCGTTATGTGAACTTAATCAATGGATGATTAAGATGAAGTGGCGTAACATGTAAACTCAGATAAAAAACTTCAATTTTTAAATGTTCAGTCGATCTTAGAAAGAAAGCCGCTGGAATAGTCTCATATAGATGTTGACGAACACGGTCAAACGTATACTGAGTTCACTCCCCAGCTTAGTGGTCAGATCTTCTAGCGTTAGTCTACAGTTATCCAAGCCATTGCGAAGACCCCATGAACTTTGCTCCTCCAACAGCCTAACAAAGTCGTACTATTATCTTTTTACTGGAAAATACCCGTGGATTGCATCGAGAAGTCAATTTGGCAAACAAGCTCGTTTTCGGTGCCTCATTTACTAGCCAAATACAGCACTCTTTTATAGGTTACAAAATCATATAGTTCAAGGAAATAGAATACGCGTAAGTAATGTCTGTGTTTGTATGCGTGTGTGTGTGGATAAATGGGATAATACAGTCAGGGGTGTATGTGAGTTCGAATCATTCTGCAAATGTCATTAGTACTGTCGAATGAATCAAATGCATTTGACACTCATTTGATAACAGGCTTTGTGTCATTCTAGCGTTTATGGCTGGCCATGGTAAATCCAGGGCTCTGACCGACTTTTTTTGAACGCACATAGGGGGGTTGTTCAACCGAATCGCGATCGCTTCGGCTGTTGACAGTAAGCGGTGCTTGACCTGCTTCGATCTCACCCCGGTGATCGTGTAGATGGGCTTGACCGCTTCACTCATTCTGACGCGATGCTCAGTTTCGACCAAATGAGCCGTGATCGCTGTCCCCCCGGGTTTCGTCAATCCACGACTAAGCCAGCTGGGGTGGTGTTCTCGAATGCGTTCAGCCAAGCGGCGGGTGGTACGACCAATGTAATGAATGATTCGAACTCACATACACCCCTGACTGTATTATCCCATTTATCCACACACACACACACGCATACAAACACAGACATTACTTACGTGTATTCTATTTCTTTGAACTATATGATTTTGTAACCTATAAAAGAGTGCTGTATTTGGCTATTATCTTTTTGTTAAGTTAAAACATTCATTCAACCCATTCTGTCTCAGTGAATATATTTATTCAGAAATGGGAACTTCACCTTTTGATTATGGTTTTGGTGCGTTGATTCTGGAACAAGCAAATGAGCTTCTATTCTTCAGCAAGATTTAGAAATGATCATGAAACAGACTTCATTGTCGATTGAATTTATCTAACTGAATGGACTCACCGAAAAATTCTTCACTTTATATCCACTGAAACTTTACCAGAAACCTTTTTGGAGTGGGCAATATGTCGCTAGTGATACTATTGGATGAGGTAATTTCAAGTAACACATATTGTTGTTAGTTACCCGTAATAGTCACGAATCATTCTCCTTTGAAGAAATCAGTTTATCTGGATAATTTCAAGTGAATATAATATAACAATTAAAAATGCTGAGTCTTATACAAGATTCTTCTGGTTTCAAGTTTTTCCGTTTGTATTTCTCCAAAATGGGAATAGCAATTCACCAATCAAATGCGCGCAAATGTCCTACGGCGCTATCTATTCAAACTGCAGAAACAGAAAGAGGAAGAGTCGAAATCTGGAGGTGAGCTTCTTTTTCCGTTTCACAAATTTTTGCGCTTTTATTTTCACAATAATAGTCATTCACTTCAAGGCTATCCTCGTTCTTCTGTTTCTGTCAATAGCATGACCACCGTTACTATCTTACCATCAAGCAGTTCGCCAGTTTCAGCCAGCTATTATCAAAGATTCCAGTCCATATCTGTGCAGCAAACGATCAGCGTAACTGACAACGTGTGATTATCTGCTGTGGAGCTGAGGATTCTTCAGAAGACAGCTTATGGTTTGTTACTTACTTCAGCTGACATCGAAATTAACTGATCTTCAGTGTGTTCTACGTTTCATCGTGTAACTGCATTTTTCCTTAGAATGTGCAACGGTGCCTATCACATGGATATTGCACTTGGGAGGAGAACCAAGGGACGAAAATTCTTCAACGATTGTAATCATTCTTTTCCCCTTGAAATAGTCAAGTGTTTTTGATAGATGCAGGCTCTCTTCAAACCTCTTGATACCCAGGATTCATACAAATCATGTAACGAACAATATCACATCCAATCAATTAATGGAAGTGCGTTTTGATCGGACGAACAACGATCATGCTTACAAAACAATTGTAGTGTATTGATTGTTTAACATGACAATAACTATTCCGACCATATTTAACTGTTAATTGCTATGTTCATACAGTCGATTTGTTGGCCTTTGACCGTGTGATTCTGGAGTAAGTATTCCAGTTCTCAGCCCTATTCGATACCCGACGGAGGGATAAAGTGAGCGTGCACCGCCGATAAATCCAAACACAAAGAAAAACGACGCAGTGCCTGTTATCGACCATTCATGAATGCTGTTTATTTCAAGAATCTATATTACGTTTTAACCTGTTTAAATTTTAATGAAATCGTTCAACAACAAAACATTTTAAGAAAACAATCAAATATCACAACGATTTCGTTTATGGCTGCCCCACATCTTGTAGCTTGCAAAAAGTTTCCGTCATTTCTGATTCGCATCCTCCAAACTTTGACTCCGATCTCGAGAAAGAACAACTTGTTTGTAATCATGAATTAAACAAGTACACCTATGAAGAACGTGCATTATGCTTCCGGTACGAATAAGTAAGTAAAAATGATAACCACGGTGACATTCTTGAGCACTGAAAAATGGAACTGCCTTCGGTTGAAGTCATAACATCATAGCCGCTCTCTCTTTTCACTGCCACCATGCGCGCTTCACGTCTGTCTTTTTTGGTCAGTACTATTTTCTGTTCGTTCAATACACTTCTGCTAAGGCAAGTTTGGTTTTACTTGTTAGACAGACGGAAGCACATCCTGAATTTTCTAATGAGTATTATCGTTTCGCGTTAGTGCCTGTCCTTTGGGAAAGATAGCATCTTCCTCACTCTCCTCCATCCCAGATTAGTGCGATCAACAAGCTATGCTTTGTTCCCCTTTTTTCTACTCAGTTAAAAAATAACCTATTTCACCTTCTGCTTCCACATTGGTGTTGGTCGAAGTGTGCACAGCATGACTTTTGTGTAAACTACTAATTTATTCGACCTACTTTGTGATCAACCGCTGTATTCTTTCGGTTTAAACTCCGGGATGGCATGCGTTTTCAAACAGACTTTCAAAAACCTGCGGTCAGTAGGTTACAATAAACAGATATTTTTAAAAATCTACACCTTTTCCCATCAACGTTTTCCCACGTAATCCTTTTGTCAGGACCCGTAGTCCTTTAGCCTCAACTGTGAAAATTTAGTCACGACGCACTAGACGCGTCAGACTAAAAAGTATTGGAATATTCTGAAGTCAACGGATGTTGAAAGAAATTTTTCTCTACAAATGTTGATGTTGCAAAGCTTGGTTAAGAAATAAGAAATTGTGGGGGTTGCATGCTGCAACACATGTTGATTAGGGAAGGTCTCATCGATGTGCCCGTGTTGTCAAACATGATGGTCTCGCATCTAGTTCAGCTTCAGTGTTTCTGTATAACATGCGATACTCCTAGGAGTAAAAATCTCAAGTGTAACTCAGACGGTACATTGTTTTGCATTCACACGTGAACTCCGATCATCAGAAGGGGACACATACACATGCTGAGGATAAGAAACCGCTCGTAAAATTACACCCTTATAATTATCATCAGTTTAATAACGCCGGAACATATATCACAAATACCACGGTCGATGCCTAAATACTACGGGTTTTTCTCTATAGCTCCTTGGGAGACGGTGTCCTAAAGGGGCTCTTTCGTGAATAGTGTTTATTATCCTCGACCTGTTA